CTCAGCTGCTTGACCAAAAAAAAATTTTTTTTTAAACTTTACCCTTTCCATTTAAAAATGTACAAACGTATCTTACCGGACTACAAAAACATATGTAATCCCACTCATATTATAAATGTGAAAGTTTATGAGTGAGTGGAGGCGTGTGTGTGTATTTTGTTGCTTTTTCACGCTAAAATGGCTGGACCATTAAGGTTATTTTTGAAAATAGTTGCCAACATTTACAAAAGTTAAAACGAATTAATTAATAAGTTAAGTGAAAAATTGCAACAATGTAAATGTCAAAAGAACGATTTATTTAGAGAAAAAGTGTTGCCACCTGTTCACAAAGTTAAAATCAATTTAATTCAAAAGTTAAATGAAATATCATAATATGTACATATGGGTATCAAGCGAGAGATGTTTAAGAAAGCCTTATTTCGAAAATATTTGTGAAGAGGGCTGCGGGCTGTTTAGAAATTTAAACTTAATTTAATAAACAATTATTTGCATATAGGCATCCAAGACATAAGACATAAGAATAAGAACACAAGAAGAAGACATAAGAAAGCTTTTTTTCGAAAATATTTTTTTAAGAGGGTTGCCTGTTTAGAAATTCAGAATGAATTTATTTAAACTAAGTATTTTAACGTGGCTATGTATGTGCCTTATTTCAAGATCATTTGCGATGAGGGTTGCCAGCGGTTTAAAAATTCAGAATCAATTTAGTGAACAAGTTAAATGAAATATTTTAATTTGGGCATCAAATGAGAGAGGTTTTAGTAAGCTGTATTTCTAATAAAATTTTTAAAAGTGTTGCCACCAGTTCACGAGTTTTACTTCAATTATATGAGGTTAAATTAAATATTTAAATGAGTGTGATAAACAAAAGAAGTTAAATAAAATTTTTTCTACAACACATTTTCGACAAGCGTTGCCATCTGTTTAGAAATACCCCATGAATATAAATAACAAATAAAACTAAATATTTTAATATGGGTGTCAAACGAGCGAGGAAAGCTTTTTTCTTTCTTCTTCTTTTTCTTTAAAGAGCTTAATAGTACAAAAAATTTCTGAGTTATAAAGATTTTTCCAATTTCGTTCAGTAAATAATTATGGGATTTCAGAGTAATATACAAAGTTTCTGTTTAAATATTTTCAAATACTTTTATTTGAACATGACTACAAGCTAATGCTATTTTGAAGCCTGTGAATAAAATCAAAAATATTTTTATAGCTTAGAAAATTTTTGTACAATTAACTTGAATTTCCTAAAAGCACTGAAACGGCTATTTAGTATATTGTCAGTGATACTTGAGACTGTAAATCGTTATATATCACTTATTACCTCTGGTGCTTAATTGATCTATTATCTGTATCTGATCGCTTCTGGCAACCTGGCTTCATTTTCATCAACCAAAGGTAAACAGTTTTGTTATTCGTTTATTAGGTTGTAAAAATTTACAGATGCATTCCGGTGCACGTAAGAGTCCATCTAAGTGTCAAGGGTACTAATAGCCATAGACCGTTTTGCAGTATCACCGACGATATGTAGGCATTTATCATATATGTAATAATAGTTTCTATAATTCAACCAGTCCATTTTAATTAATATGCGTATCGCGTACAGCAAACTACGCTCGCATTTAGCTCAAATCCAATTCAATCCGCTTACATGCATTACAAATAAAAAAAATTCAATTAATTTATTATAATAGCCACGGCTAGAATTACAAGCCAATAGTCATACATAAATTGGGGAATGAAAGAATTCGTATAGTTGACAATTAATTGAAATACTAGAGGCAATAATTCGTGGAAGCAATTGTTGAGCCAAAAGTAATTGGTTGTTACAAAGCAAGCATGCGAAATTGTAGCATTTAATGCAGTGCAATGAGGCTGTGACTACGTAGATGTGATACAGAGTGAAAAGTGTGTTGCTGTTGCAAAGAGGAAAGAAGAAAAGTAAATTTTGGCAAAGGCTAAAAGAAAGAAAAACGTCACTGAAGATGGCACAACGCCGAAACCGGTTTGTCTTCAAACCAAATTTGACAAGGGATAACGGAAAATCGTTCCACAATACATCACAAAGTATCTCCTGTAATCAAGAAAACCGTCAGCACAAACATACTTGGGCACTCACTTCACTTCTGACAGCTATAATTTCGATAAAGTAAGCAACTTCGTTTATTTGAGAGCCGGCATTAATAGTACAAATGCTAATTGAACTAAATGTTTTATGCTTAAAATTTTTTAAATATGATTTCCACCTTTAAAAATCCTTTTATTAGTTATACATCACCTCGGTTTTTCCACTGACATTGTATAATGTATTAAATGTTAAGACCTCCACCAAAATATTTCGGAAATTAATTTGCACCAATTTGAAAACGCCTCCAAAAATCTCATTATTTAGATTCCGTTGACAAAATTTTCATACGTTTATATGCAGAGCTTTTAAGACGTTAGAAGATGCCTGAGGGGATTTTTTAAATCTTAAGTACCAGGCCGACCGAACTTTTTTAGGAGTGCGTATACTTTTTAAAGCTTTCACAGTATAGGTATCAAAAAAAATAAAAAATAATAAAATAAATAATAAAAATAATAATAATCAGTAAATTTCTTACTTTAAAATTTAGGTGGTGGCCCTATTTAGAAATACGCTGGGATGAATATGCATATCTTGAGCATACATATACTATGTATGTATGCACTGTGTATGCTTACAAAAAAATTCATATTTTATTACAAAAAAAAAACGTGGCAACGTTCATCGAAAATACTTCCGGACTACAGTTCTCTCCTTTCGTTTGATATCCATATCCTAAGGGATAACACCTATTATATAGAAAAAGCATTGCTTAAGAGCCTTCTTTTAGTAGCCATGAATAGTATTTAATACTGTACCTTTATTTTCTAATCAAAAAATTAAAAAAATACGTGATTAAAATTATGTGGCAACCCTATTAAAAATTATTTTTGAATTGGGGATTTTTAAAATACCTTCCCGTTGACAGGATGTTTTAATTATTTTGTACCTAATTTCGAATAGGTGGCAACCTTATGCGATTATTCAATGTTCATATTTGAATCCATATGTATAAACATACAAAATTTATGAAAAATTGCCCAAAATGGTTGTCAACAATCAACTATAATTTATTACAAATACTCATATTTGAATAATTTTGTGAAAAGGGTTGCCACCTAAAAAAATTGCTTAAACCAAACTGCTACTCAAATTAACTTAACAAGGAAACGAGCTGAAAGACAGGTCAAAACGGCCCTTTGCAACATTTTACTTTATGTCACATCATTTAAAGAACTTTCAAAAAGCGTTTAATTCTTAATTGCACATAAATATATATTTTTCCTAAGACCACTCGAAAACAATGAGAAAATAAACGTTATGGCACCTGTCAGCAGCCATCAAAAAGCATCAAGCCGCAGCTGTCAACGCTGTCAACTTATCACTACTCAGACAGTAAATTCACAGCGGAACATTAAAGATTCTGCGCAAAAAAAAAAAGACTATAGAAATGAAAAATGGTTACTGCGAAGCAGCATTGTCTTCATAAATAAAACTCTAATAGCCGATTTCCTTTACTGTTGTGCAACAAGATATACCGCAAATTCAATGCCCTAACGGTGAAGCGAAGCAACCATGCCACTCAATACGCGCACAGCGGCAAAGCTTTGTGAATATTTCCGTTTCAGATATTTCCCTGAAAAATTAGTTGACTTGAATTGAATTGAACTGACTGTTTTTGAAATGGTTTGGGCGCAGCTTGAAAATGCCTATGTATTAAATTAATTTCCGTTTGGCGATTTGCGGCGCCGCAGCCGATTTTACGCTGGACTGACTCGCGCAAACGATTGTTAAGTGGCCGGGCAACAACTGCATAGATTTTTCTTGTTTCTAAACCGATAAGCGGAAACATTATTTATTTTGACAATTGGCAATTTACGTATGTGCAGCGGTTGAGGGGCACCCCGCTTTCCGCTGTCATGTGTTCCCTTTTTAATTGCTGCGACGGTTTAGAAGCGTTTTGAGGCAAACCCTTTGAATTAGTGGACAAAATAAAAAAACGTGTAAGTTAAAAGCGAAAATAGCTTTTATTGTTTCTCCTTCAAATTGGCTATCTGCGGCGCATTTAAGCTTTAATGGACCTTCAAAGCGTTGCTTTTTTGCGATTAACGCTCACACGGTCAGCCGCGCTAATTAACTTCGCATACTACTTAGTTTGCTTTTGACCAGCTTGTAGCTTGTAGTGGATTTTGCATGTGTAGGGCAAACAACCAAGGCAACTACTAAATACGAGTAGTTTTTGTTGCTGCTGGTGGTTATGTATGTATGTTGCATTTGCTAAACACTGTAATGGACATACAAAATTGCTGGAATTTTGGCAATTAATTAACACTTCGCCACTCATGGACCATAATTCACAAAGCTAATGTTTGCCGTTTGTTTTGGCTACCATTTGGGATATTGCGAGCAATGTTTGTACTGCCAATGTGTGAGCTAGACTATTACTTTGAACAAATTGCCAAATTTAACTGCGCGCCACTACCGGTACTTTTGTTCACGGATTTATAGTGGCCAAAAGTGTAATTTTTCAATTACCAATTCTTCGTTTAGTGCTTTCATCGATTTGAAGGGAAAAAACTTGCACAATAAGGTACTTCAAGGTAATTTTTTTTTATGAACAACTGAACTTCAGAGTTCATTGCGACCGCAAGTTAATGAATTATGGCATTATTTTCTTAAACAATACCAACAACATTGACCAACAAATCACACAGTCTTCCGCAAATAACCCATCAATCCTAAATTGGCAGTGCTTACTTACTTGCATATGTCAAATAGATTAATTTTTTCACTAATAGCTACCAAAAACTTCAATTAACAAAATATCAAAATAGAAGGAGGTATCTTAATTACAAAGCTAAGTAAGTACTGTGAATGTACTAGTATGTTGTTATAAAGATAATAAACATTTATAGTATTTTTTCAAACTTACCAATTCTTTTTGAACGCTGGATTGGTTATTGAATCTGAAAAACATAAGAATAAAAAATATTGTTAAAATAAATTCAAATAAAATGAAAATTTTTAACATTCACTGAATTCATATTACTAAACTGTATTTCTATTAATTCGGCCCAAACCTAGTAACGTTTTTAGTCGTAGAAGAAGAAAAATCCGAACATAACTGGAAGTAGGGAAATCAAGATTGTCTATAGAAAGAGTAGTTCATGGACTAAATCTTATGAAGTTTTAGGTCGAAAATATTCACAACTTTAAAGGAATCATAAAAAATGAAGTTAGTCACTGGTGCCACTAATTTGAGTAAGAAGTGTTTTAGCAGGGTGTAACGCTTAAAAAAAATGGTATCAGTTTCGTCCTTTTCCTTTACATTGGTGCCACTGTTAGCCTTAGCCCTTTATGGGAGCAGGTAGAAGAAGATGAGAGTACCTCCTCTGCTTAGCATGCCCATTTTTTATCCTCAGACTACCCTCTATCTATCTACATCTCTATCTACATCCGGCAAGGCTTGAATTCAAAACCAACATCCAAAGAATCTGGGGTTTCCCCCAACCTGGCTGGAATGGGGAAAAGCGTCAAGGAGCCACAAATGACAATGCCTAGGGGATCATTGCGGTAAACTTACTCAGGAAAAGGTAACTGAGTATCCCCTACACGGAAGAAGGCTTCTAAAGAGTTCGGCCACATTTCTGCCTAGACAGGCCCAAATTTTCTGTAATGCTGGGGACAAAATCTTCATTTTGTTTCTTGATAGAGGGAATGGGTCTGGCAAACGTCAATTGTGACGTAGAGATTACACAGTAAGAGGGTCCATTTGTCCCGACTTCTCGGTATTAGATTGTAGCCCGGAATTTTCTGCCGAACCAGATCTCCTTTTGCATGGAGTCGGAAAACTCACATCCTTCCATCCGTATTATTTTAGTTAATACAAATATCTTTTCATGAATAATACCACCAAATATTAGCATTTACACCGCTCTAGCGTCTGCTGCTGTTGGAACAAAACTGGGAAGTAAAGTTCAGGCCAGAAGCAACTCTAGCGCCGCGGTTGCATAATTTCTCATCGGTTAAATCGTATTCTATAGATCAACATGGCTCGGGTGGTTGTAATAATTTCTTATGAAGAGTGCAACAGCTTTTTTCGAGTTTATGTTGGGCCTTCACTGACCTGTGTTTGGGATATTTTGCTAAGCCTATTTGTTAAAAGCTTAAATTTCCGGAGTCCCTTCCCGCCAGTTTTAACATTAAGTTTAACCTATGTATATTATACTTTTGTCTTAGCCACAAGTCCAAAAAGTTCTGGTTTTTCTTTCAACCCGGCGTATGAGAACTCGGCAGTTCCTAGAAAATTCGATTTCATACGGAAATAAATAGGCCAGGGCGTTCCGAAGCTGCCTTCGTCCTTCTATATACATTTTCAGCACCCAGCGCTTTCCCGAACATCTTCGTATGGATTAACTGCAGTCATCATTCTCGGAAAAGTGTATGTATTGGTAACACAATACACGAAACAAAAATACCGAAGTAAGCCCCTCGCAGATGTGCCACCCTAACTAACCTAGAGTTTATGCAATCGGTCCAGTTGAAGACCATCGCACAGAAACTTGTTACATTTAAGTTGGAATAGCTGTGTAAATATATATATGTATATCAATATTGGCAGAATTTTGCACCAGATTATATAAAAAATACATCGCTTGCATTGTATCTTAAGCCATTAATTTGCATCACATCAAATTTGGCCTGCCAACCAGTGAACCGTGTAAATCGATAACGATTACGATTCCATGCCAATAAACAGCAACTAGTAATGAAGTGCGAAAAGCCGCAAACAACAACAAAAGTCACAAAAGCAACAACAACAGTAACAAAGCATCAACTACCAGTATATTCAAACAATTTCGCATGAAATACATAAATTAAAAATGCGTAAATTGCAAATTAAACAGAATCGTAATTTATTGCAAATTTATAAGCTGACAAGCGAGCGGTCGAATGAATGCTGCTGAATATTTGAGAATCAACTACATACACGAATTTCCACTTTGTGCAGTGAAAATTGATCAGGCATTATTAATGAGAGTTTGAGAATTGTTGAAACAGGCAGGCGGATGATTTCGCATTCAAAATTTATTTAGAAATTTTAGATATTTCATTTTTATTACGCACTTCTCGTTAATGCAGGCAAGTACCTTAATGTTGTACTACCTATAACTATATTATTTATAAGGCGAAAATTCAAATAACTTACACTGGCGGTCTCGCATAACTTACCGCCACATTTTTTTTTTAATTGTATAGGTAGAATTTCGAAAACTAAAAACATATATTTTTTTAAATTTACTTAGTTCATACTATATAAATCAAAGTTTCAAACTTTGTACAAAATTTAACCCTATTAGGACCAAATTCAAAATGTAATTCAGCGAGGGCTAAATAAAGAAAATTCGCATATTACAAAAAAGTCTGTGTGAAAACTAATTTCCCTAACTATTTTATTCTAAAACATGCTCATGAATCTCTTGATGTTTTCCTATAAAGTAATGTTTTTCAAAAAAAAAAGTGTTCTTCTAAAAAAAAATACCAAAGAAATAATTTTTCGCCCAAAAATAATTTTTTTCATCATAAGCTTATATAATTTTTTAGACATTTTTTTTTAATGAATTGAATTTTGTCCTAAAAGATCTCAAAAAAATAGTTTTCCCCAAAAAATTATCTCTGCCTAAAAACTACTAATTCCCTTACACTTTTATCCTGAAACATTACTTTTTTTAATCTTATTCCCAAAAATTCCGCACATAAATTTACAGCAAAATAATTCTTTTCTCCAGAAAAACTTTTGGTTCTTGTCTGGGTAAACATACTTCTTCCTTTTTTCTAAACTGTTTATTTCTAAATTATGATTATTATTTTTTTTAAAGAAAATTTCTTCGAGAGCAATAAATTAAAATTTTCTAAAAAAAAATCTTATTGTGGTAGATTTTTCTTATTATTTCGAGAAAAATATATTTTTCTAAAATTTCTTGATAAAAATGGCTTAAGACTCACATTCTAAAAATAGAAAATTAATAAAGACTCACACAATTTCCATATGAGTGGAATAACTTTTTGGGAAATATGTTTCCCTTGGTCCTGAAAGCGTTAAAAAAATTATTGAAATTGTCACAAAAATTTCAAACTTTTTAATCAAAATTTTTAGGAAAATTTCGAGTATTTGGGTTTATTTTTAGTCTAATAAAGTGCAATTTTGAAAATTTTTTCATACGATGTTACACATTTTCTTCTATATAAAAACAAAACAAAAAATATTCCCCAAAAATGAACGATAATTTTGATCTACTTCAAACTTGCACATTATTATACTAAGATTGAACGTGTTATACCTACATGTACGTAGTTTTTGTTATAGTTTGAACTATTTAAAAATTATTATAATTTTTTTATTTTTTGTTAATGTACGAAATTCTACTTCAAAAAAAAATTGTGGTGGTAAGTTATGCTAGGCCGCCAGTGTATGTACATAGCTAAATTGGCAATTGCTCACTGGGAAGCTCTTGCCACTTATGCGTTCTTAGAATGAAGGCATGAAAACCTACATTTGCAGCTATACACGCGCACACACACACATCTATGTACGTACGCATGTGTACAGTGAAATATGCATGCCAATGGCACATAACAATAAATAATTGCAACAATTACCTGAAAAAAAATTATATGTATTGAAGTCAAGAAAAGTATATTATTTATATAGCGGAATAAAGTCAGACGAAGCGCACTACGCCGCAAAAATTTGCCGTCACAACAAGAAGGTGCAAAAAATTAAGCAGGGAAATTCCATTTCTGCTGCGCAGTTGTAACTCATTTTCCGGCCACTGCTAACGTTATTTTGCCTGTTGCTGATG